GTTTTCTTATTCTCTCAATTTAAGTAAAAATTTTTGTAATAATTCAGAGAATAAAGTATAATAAATAAATAAATAAATAAAATAAATAAATAATGGCAGCCATACAATCCTAGCCTTAAAAATAACACTTATAATAATAATTTCCGACGACCTCAATTAGCGATCACCCACACGAACGGACGACCAAAGTCAGAACCAGTAAGCTCGACCTTCTCAAACAATTACAATTACAACAGAAACCCCAACCAGGGGTTCTTTCAAAATAAAAGAAACAATACCAACTGGTTCTTCCAACGAAACAAATTACAAAAGATAAACCACACCAACACTCAAATAAAATCAAAGCCGAACGAAGAAAATAACAAAATAACTTGTTCAACTTGTGGCACTTGCTCAACCAACACAGAAAACCCTTTTTTAGATTAGAAGTGGTTCTTCCAGCCAGAAGAACACTTCGAGAAGACTCTTCTATCCCATAAACATAAAATGGGAAACGGAGAGGTATTGAGGTTCATTATTCATACAGGTTCTAATAAAAACTACATTAATCCTAAATTCATAAGAAATCCAAAATTGAACAATCAAAAATTTCCGGCTAATTCTATTGGTAGTTACAATCCCCCACCATCCTGAAGTAGATCTATTCAAAAATAACTTTCTAAAATTAAATTTTTTTCTTTTACCAAACTTGAATTCTTTTGAAGGTATTATAGGAAACGATACCTTAAAGGAATTAAGAACCATAATTAACACAGACAAAAACATTAATTTTAAACGATTGCCTAGTATTACCCATAAAACAATATGTCATGTCACAGAAACACTTACTAAAATTAAAATATTTTGTTACGGGTTTTTTTCCTTTTTATGTAGGAAAACTCATATTTATTTTATTTTATTTTAATTTGCACTAAACAAGATGCTCCATAATTACCAAAATTTACATAGTTTACAAAAATTAACAAAAATATATATAATACATACTTATAAACTAAATTGAATTACACTAACAAAACATTAAATGAATTTACTACACAAATGTAATATGATACATATAAAAAAAATAATAAATAAAAAGAAAGAATTTTATTATGTTATCATTTATGCTGAGTAGGTATTTAATATTTATACGATTTAATAATTGTACAATTACGTCATATAATTATCATTTGGTACAATATCAAATCAGTTGTGAATTAGTACAAAGCTCAGTAGTGAATTATGAATTTTTTGAAGATGTATTTTGTAACTGCTGGTGAAAAAAGATGACTAAAACGATTGAATACAGTACAAGTAGGTATTCTTGCACTCTGGGATGGGAAAAAAACAGCCCATATCGCACGACCCACTTTCACTTTCTTATTTCCTGGTATAGGTAGATGACCTGCTAAAGTGTGTCATGACCTGTATAACGGGTCGTTTATTTCCTGATATAGGTAGATGACTTGTTTGAGTGTGTCATGACCCATGTACATATGAATGTACAAAGCTGAGGTGGCCGCCAGGTCAATGAGGTCAAAGGTTGCTGGTTCAAATATTTGTATACGTCTTTGAAACCGGTTCCTATCTCGTGCAAGCTTATCGTATATCCCTTTTCGAGCAATTCTGTAAGCAAAATCCCATGCATACATATAATGAATTTTTAATTTCAAGTTAAAGTGAACTTTTGTTTTCATATTTTTATTATGTAGTTAATTCAGTATTTTTCCCTTTATCAAATGTATGCAAATGTTTATTGCATTTTTTACAGCACATCTTAATTTTTTAATTCCATTATGTGCAGCAATAGGGCATAAAGACTTATAGTTTTCAATTTGTAATAATGATGGCATACTTTCTGTTAAATCCTCTATTTTGGAGTTGTCAATGAACTGTTGTAAGAATACCTTTTTTTGAATGCCCACATAAATCTTTTCAGCTGATTGTAAAATTTGCTTAATAATATGTGGTACTTGTGAATATTCTATATTTCCGCTATTCCACTTTAATCCATTTATATAATCTTCGCAATATTGAACATTATATTTTGATTTTTGGGTAAGTTCGTGTTCAGAGTATGGAGATTTGAAATAATACACCATGGGGATCATGCTTCCTTTTTCAAGTAAAGCTAATTCTTTTACAAAATAGTGTTTTTCATTTCCTTGTACAAATTGAAGGTCCACAATAAAAATCTGTCCGCTCATATTGAAAACAAGTGCTTGTCCTCAATGAAAGTTTAAATGAAAATAAAAGTACTGAAGAGGTTACTAGGTTTATATAATATTTTGACCAATTGACATGTTTTATGTTATAAATATATGTAGGTTACAAGATCAACTTTTATTTTCATTATGTTTTTTCACCCATTTACAATGATGGTGGCCGGTCCATCGTGCTGTGGGAAAACCACTTTTATACATAATCTCTTAAAAAATAATAAAGACAATATAAAACCTTGTGTTGAAAAAATAATTTGGTGTAATCCTGATAAAAATGCTGTTCCCAAAAATATAGAACGGCTTGAGCATTATGTTACTGTTCCAGACATAAATGATAATCATGAACCTATATTAATAGTATTAGACGATATGATATTAAGTACACAGGACAAACGAATATGTGAGTTATTTACTAGAGGTTCACATCACAGAAATTTGTCTGTAATTTTTGTAACACAAAATCTATTTCATCAAGGAAAATTTTCAAGAGATATTTCATTAAATTTTAAATATTTAGTACTTTTCAAAAACCCTAGAGATAAATCACAAATATTACCTTTGGCCAGACAAATATATCCGAATCAGGTTAAAGAATTCGAAAAAGTATATAATGAGGTAAGATCACAACCATATGGATATATATTATTAGATCTCACTCAAGAAGTCAATGATCTTTTTAGATTAAAAAGTGATTTGTTTGGTCTAAATTCATGTTTTTGTACAAAAGATCAGTTAGAGCAATTAGCACAAGAATATGAGACGTTTGAAAACCAACCGACATATATTGCACCTATTAAAAAATTCTAAACCAAGGTTTCAAAAAATAATAATTAAGCATTGTGAACCAGAAGTAATAAAAAGATTTTGTGAAATAGCTTTGAATATATTAAAAGGAAATTGCAATCTTAATAAAAAAATAACGAATCAACTAAGGAAGTATAAAAAAGAGTTACGGGCGTTAACCTCCAATAAAAAATCTATAAATAATAAACGAAAAATAATTATTCAAAAAGGGGGATTTTTACCTAGCCTTCTCGGAGCCATATTGTCTGGAATAATAGGACGTTTCTTAAAATGAATAGCGCAATGTTTAATAAAATTGTAATAATAAAACCTGAAATTTATGAAAAACTAAAACAAAATTCTGATGTCGAGCTAAATGAGTTAAATAAAAAGATGAAAAATATTCTACTGAATAAAAATTTGACTGATATTCAAAAGTGGTATTTATATCGTCAAAACCTGTTTAAAATAAGGAACAAAAGTAGAACTGTTCCCCAAAACATTACAGCACAGTCGTACGAGCCCAAACTTACAGAAACAAAGAGTACTCAAACTCGTCCAAAAACTGTTTTTAAAAACACAGACACCCAAACAAATTTTGTGGAAAATAAGGATGCTAAAATACAGTTCCCCGAGGAGGAAATATTCGAAAAAGAACCAGACGATGTATTTGATAATGAATTGCATGAAAATGTTTTTACGACAGCGCTTTCTGCTGCATCAGCTGGTGTACGTCTTAGAAAACGTAAGTCTATCAGAAATCAAAAATTTTCAGATGTACGAAACTGATAGTGGAGATATTATAACGGTTCCTCTAAACAGTCCAAGTCCTCCTACAAAAAAAGAAAAAACTATAAATAGCAAAAGCGCAGAAAAATCTTAAAGACGTGTTTTACGATCAGCAAAAGCAGGTGACACACAAACACAGCTTGATTTTCCCATACGTAAAAGTAAATCGACAAGCACATGGACAACTTACAGTTAAATGATGAATTTTATGTAACTTTACTAAGTGACTCGTCCATTAACTACTATCCTGAAAACACATTGGCAGCTTTTACTAATAAATTAAATAAACAATTTGCCCTTGATGAAAAATGGAAAGTTGGAATTTCACAAGTGTATGTAAATGATTATGTATCATAAATTTACGGAGAAAACGACGAAAAAAGAATTGCAATTACGATTGGAAGTACAGAAAAAAAATATGAAAACATAGGTACAACTTATATTCCAGATAGGAAAGAACAAATCAATTGTGATTGGAAAGCTTTTGTTTTACCTACACTCATACAAAATATAGAACCGGATGCAGGATATACAAAAAATGAATGTGAGCGTCAACTTATATGGCAAATTTTTGATTATATTTCAAGGAACTCAAGTTACATAAAATCTGGAGAACCAACTGAATACTCTGTGGAAGTGGTTAAAATATGTGTCAGCGATCCAGAAGTTGACATAAAAATAGGTGTAAAAACCAATTGGTCAATTGATGTTTTTATCAAAGTATGTTTTAATCAAATTTTAATAAAATACCCCGATTTTAAAAAATATAAAGACAGAATTGTGCAATTGTACAAGTCTTATTTAGAAACCTTATATTTTATACCAGGAAATAAATCAGATATTATGTTTGTATGCAGTGACATTATAGAACCACAAATTGTCGGTGACAATACTTTGAGGTGTTTACGAACAATAAAATAATAATAAAGAATACATACGAAAATAATTTTTTTGAATTTAAAAATATTCATTATTTTCCAGTTGAAAATTAATTTTTTTATTTAATTTTTCTATTATGTTATGTGATAAGTATGGTAAACAAATAAATTTTTCCAATTTAGTTCAATCTGGTAAAGGGCTTGATGATATCGGCCCCTTACTTCATTCTGCCTTTGCCTATCAAAGAGGTCGAGGATTGGGAAGTTTTTTTGGGGGCTTTTTAAATATTTGAAACCTTTGTTTGTCTCCGGAGCTAATATATTGAAAAATGAAGCAATTAATTCCAGTATGAATGCTCTATCTGATATTGCAACTGGAGCAAATATAAGAAAAGTAGCTCAGGATCGGGGTAAGGAAATTTTAAAAAATGTGAGACGTGGAGCAGTTCGTAAATTAATCGAAATGTATGGATCTGGAAAAAGAAAAAGAAAAACTATAAAAAGGCGCCTCATTAAAAAAATCGACTATTTTGCTTCAAAGCGACGAAAAGTTAATAGCAAAAGAAAAAAAGTTGATATTTTTGATTAATTATGATTGAATGTATGAAATCAGAATTGGATATTTTTAGAACAAAACCAATTCAATCTAGTATTTTAAGATCTGAAGAAGTTTCATACAATCCTATTGCTTCTTTAGATAATCTATCAACTATTGACTTTGTCTCATTAGGTCATGGTGATACATACAGAGATTTATCTTCTACATATCTTAGATTAAAGGTACAAATTGTTAAAAAAGATGTAAACCATTGGAATAACGACAAAGGTGCCGACGGAAAAACATTGCCCCAACCAAGTGTAGTGAATAATCTTCTACACTCAATAATAAAACAGTGTAATGTTCAATTTAACGGAAAAAGTATTACCCCGTCAGATGGAAATTATCATTACAGAGCACACATTGAATCATTATTAAATTATGGTACGGATGCCGCTACTACTCATTTAGAGTGTGCTGGATGGTGTTTAGATAAACCAAACATAGCAAAACCAGATAATAATGGATCAAAAGAACGTCAAAAACTTTATCACAACAGCAATATCGTAGAGCTAATGGGTAAACTACATTTGGATATGTTTAACCAACCGACTCTTTTAATAAACAACGTTAATGTGAGAATTACTTTAACACTTGAAAAACCAGATTTTTATATTTTTGCAGACGATGCTGATGAATCTCAGTTAAAAATTTTGGAAGCTACATTATTTATGAAGCACGTAACAATAAACCCAAGTGTACTACTAGCCCATAATGCTGTTCTAGAAAAATCTAATGTCAAGTACAATTACAAACGTGTTGAAGTAAAAAGTTTTACAATTCCTTCTAATACATCAACTGTTTCACTTGATAATGTCTTCATTAGGCAATTACCCAACACCATAATTTTTTGCCTTACAGAAAATGTTGGCTACTCTGGAAAAAGATCAGAAAATCCATATAATTTTCGACATTTTGATATGTCCCAGTTTGTATTGTATGTAAATGGTGTACAAGTACCAAACACAGCAATTGAAACAAGTTTTTCAGATGAAAATAATAGTCATACTCGTGCATACCATACACTTTTCTCTGGTACAGGAATTTATCATAATGACTAAGGACATCAAATATCAAAATCTATGTTTAGTAGTGGATTTTTCATCTTGGCTTTCGATTTGACACCAGATGCACCAGGAAATGAGATATGTACTTATCAGTGTTTAAGAACTACTTAATCAGTGTTTCTTAAAACATGTTGTTGGCGTATACTTATTTTTTAAACAAAACACATACTGTAAAAGTAGTAATAGGATTCCACGTAGAATTATTAGAAGCAACCATTTCAATACACCGTATTGGAAAAAATGAAATTTTTGTAAATTATGAAGATTGGGTGGAATTTTATCAGTAATTTCAAACAAAGTATAAAAAAAAATTTATAAATAACAAGGTCTCTTGTCTACAATTTGGAATAAAAACCAAAAATTTACAAACTTTCGTGTTAAGGAGCGAAGAGATGGATGAATTTCATATCCTAATTGATTTTATTCATTTGGTAATGGATTACAACCACAAGGCTGAAGAAGGTGTAAAAGACTATGTAAGGAAATATATAAGACAATGTGTAGAAAACAATGAAATCATACTAAAAAGTGAAATTTATATACCATTAGATCGATTTAACTTTCAATTTAATTATTCTAGATTGTTTTATGAAATTCCGTTTTTACTTAAAAATAAGATAAAAAAATATTTAGAAATAAATAAAAGCACTATGCTACTAGATTAATATGTTACTTGTATTTTATTTTTTCTTTTATTTACATTATTTTTGTGTTATTTAAAACATGAGTTATTGTAAAAATAATAAAAAGCAAACATAAAAATACCATATACAGCATAAGACATTTATAGCAATTCCAGCAAAATGAATTTGGTATCTGAATTGGTTCTTCTTCATTATTGAACATAATTGAAACCCCATCCCCTCTTGGTGATTGAGTATCCATTTTATTTCTTTAGTAAAACTGGAAAATTCGTTACAGTTATGCTGCTACGATTATAAATTGATGTATACTAAAGTTTTTTATTTGAATCATGCTTAATTATAAAAATACTGACTTTGTTCATTTTTATTGAGCTGCAACGGCTTATATAAATAATCGAATCCTTTTTATTTTTCTTATTTTAAAAATGGATGTCAACGAGTTTTTAAATGTATATAATTCTGTTATTTTGGAAGAAGATAAGAATCAAATTTTATATTTAAACAATTACTTAAAAACATTTAAACATAAATTACAATTAACTAGTTCGATACACGGAAGCCATTTTACTATTTGCCCTTGGGCGTACGACGATCTGGACCTGATACTTGTGAATGCCATACAATAGAAAAATACAAAATTGAAGTTGCAAAATTGATTAATTGGTACGAAAAATATGTCAAGAGCTCAAATAGTGTCAGAAATTCATAGACCGGCTCGAAAAAATTGCCGGAGGAGAAGATTTCTACAAAAAGGTTTAAATGATACATGGCAGATTGATTTAGTTGAAATGATTCCTTATGCAAAGTTTAATAAGGGCAAAAAATATATGTTAACTGTTATAGATACCTTTTCTAAGCACGCATTTGCTGAACTTGTAAAAAATAAAACTGCTGATAATGTTTTACAAGCTTTTAAAACAATTATAAAACGAAGTAAAACTGTACCAAAAAATATTCATTCAGATCAAGGCAAAGAATTTTTTAATATCAAATTCAAAAATTATATGCGGGAGAAAGGAATTAATCAATACCATACGTTTTCGGATCTTAAGGCGTCTATTGTAGAACGCTTTAATCGTACTTTAAAAAATTTGATGTGGAGAAAGTTTAGCTTACAGGGTAGTTACAAATGGATTACTATATTACCGTCTTTATTAAAAATATATAACTCAACCCCCCATAGAAAAACCAAGCTACCACCTGGAAAAATTTCTAAAGAAAATGAAGAATTTATTTTAAAAAAATTTTATGCAGAGCTTAAAATTTTTCAAAAACATAAATATAAAGTAGGAGGCTATGTTAGGATAAGTAAATATAAAGGAATATTTGAAAAAGGTTATAATGCAAATTGGTCTACTGAAATTTTTAAAGTTATTAAAGTACATAATACATATCCAGTTACTTATGAGTTGCGTGATTATCAGAGTAATGATATATCTGGTAAATTTTATGAACCTGAATTAACACCTGTTAAAAATTCTGACGCCTATTTAGTAGAAAAAATCCTAAAAAAACAGGGCAATTAAATTTTTGTAAAGTGGTTGGGATTTGACAGTAAACATAACAGCTGGATTAATAAAAAAGACTTAATTTGAAATTACTTGTACATTTTATTATAATAAATTTAGTTTTATAAAATTACATGACCATTTATTGAGTTATTTTTCTTCTCTTATAACCAAATGGCAACGAACTGTAATCAGGCAAAAATCTTCGCTTTTCGGATTTTGGTTGATATGTTTTGGTTTCAGACACCGTAATAAGTTCATGTTCTTTTGTTCTTCGAATATTGTCAGAAAGTATGGAAATATTTTCAAAATTGTTTAAATTTAAAACAGCTTCCTTCATCGTTTCAAAATTGATTTTGTGTGAAGCGTCGTAGTTTAAGCGAATTCCTTTCACCTTGCAAACCACTTTTTCAGAATTATCTTTTGTAGAAAAAACCTTATAGGTGTAATTTTTTGGACCACCGCTTACAAATTCTGTAACATAACTACCTTGGCCATAGCTTTCTAATTCATTAGTCATATCCCCTATAAACTCTCCAGTATGGGGTTCATATTCACCTTCACGACTTATGTAAAATACTGAGTCTGTATCGTAATATAAAACTCGATTATCTAGCTTTTCCAAGTATGTGTACAATTTTAGACGGGCTTGTGCGGTTGTGAATGCAGCAATAGAGACATTCACAGTTGATAAAGATTCTGTTACCTCTTCTTTGTATTGCCAGTTAATAACAATATTTCTTCATTATAGGTAAAATGTGGCATACTTCTATTGCTGCATTAGTTAACATCCCATACAACTCAAATGGCTCATTTATAATGTTTGTTTTTTGTAAGTTTTCTCTTTGTCCGAATTTACCCCAAAATGAATTTAACATCAATTTGGCAAATGATCGTAACCCAGGATTGTTCAAAACTTTTTCATATTCGAGCTGTATGTCTTCGTTTTGCAAAAAATCTTCAATATATTTTTCTTTTTGATCTTTAGTACAACATTTGCTGGGCCACCCTGAAGCTTCTTGTTTTATTTTTAAAAATTTATCCATCATTTTACTAAATAATCCTTCAGCGTTTTTAAGTTTATTATATTGTGATACGTCGTATTCCCATATTTCATACGTCTCCTATATCCTATAATTTTTTTCTAGAGCCTTAATAACTTCATCGATAACCCAAGTTCCCGTTAAGGCTCTTTCACCATTTGAATGTGTGCAAAATTTATTTTGATTTCTTTGTTCGCTGCATAAACCGCATAACGTAAACATTAATTTATTATTTTGCTTCAGCGGTAAAACCGGATGATACAAACGTTCAGGTGGCAATATTTTACACTTTATGAGACCATTTATGTTTTGTAAATTTAATGAATAACATTTAGCATTTCCAATATGGAGTTTGGGATGTCCAATAGGGAATTTTCCGTATTTACATACATATGGATATAAGGAACACACATCAATATAATTTATTTTTTCTGCATGTTTGCACTTATAGTAACTAAATGTATTTCCTGTGCGACCACCATAAAATGAATCTCGAGGATATAACGGGGTACAGTTTACTAATGGGTGATTTTGTAAATGCTCTTTCTGTTTTGTACTAAGTAAACTTTCAAAGTCACAAGCCCACATTTCCACAACTTCGTAACCTAAATTTCTTAATCGGCTACTTTTTTCAATTGTTCTTGCATAGCGGTGATTTAGAGTGTCATTTAAATCATCGTACAAAGGTTTGTCACGTTTTTGTGGTAGACAAGAGGGGTGCCCATGAAAATAGCATCCGTAAAACTCAAAAACTTGATTAGTTTCTTGGCAATAACCGTCTACTTTAACACCGGCCACTATAGCTTCCCGTTCTTTAGCTGCATGTTGAATATTGATTTTACGGTTTTCCTCTTCAAAAACCAGCCACTGTATAGCCTGCTTTGACTGATTATCTGCATATCTATATCCATTTTTAGGAATCAGCCCGATAGTATTGGACTTAAGAAAATTTCTCCGAAACACTAAATTGCACGCTGATGCTATAGTTGTGGCTTCTAAAAACGGTTCCACATTACATTCAGTTATGAACAATTTTCGAAACTTAAGGCAGGCTTCTCTTAATATTACAACATCATAAATACAGTATTCAATAATATCACGTTGCATATTAAAAACATCATTTTTATGATTTTCATGCCATTGCAGAAATATGTCACGTTCTTTTGGTTTCATGCTGTTTGCCCCTTAGTATTCTATTGCTGGTAAAAGGCCAACATAATTCGCATTTTTTATGGTGTTAAATTTGTATGGAAAGTATCCTTTTTACCTACCGTATTGTGCAAACAATAGGTAGGTTATGTGATGGCAACAAATTTTGCATATCGAGTTTTCTGTGGGCACGTACTTCTCCATAGTAGGGAAGTGTAAATAAACTATTTTTAGCAACCTGTCGGTCTGTCGGTCTGCCGGTCTGTCGGTCTGTCGGTCTGTCGGTCTGTCGGTCTGTCGGTCTGTCGGTCTGTCGGTCTGTCGGTCTGTCCGTCTGTCGGTCTGTCGGTCTGTCGGTCAGTCGGTCTGTGTGTGCACGCGTGTATCTCAAGTTCGGCTGAACCGATTTTGATGAAATTTTATATGTAAGTTTGTTTCCACCATGGCACGGATCGATCAACTTTTGGTATATATCAGGCCTCGGGAACTGCACTTTTTAGCGGGCCTGTTTGACATTTTTGAACATTTTGAAGAAAATATTCAACCGATTTACTTGAAATTTTATATATAAGCTTAGCTCGACCGTCCGCAAAAATTCGTATGTTTTGGAAGAAATCAGGCATCGGCAACTAGACGTTTACTACTGGCCA